GTGCTCCGTTCTCAGTTGCTTTCTTTTGCTTCCTGAACTTTCATCTTTCTTTCTTATAGAATCAAACAATCTATTGATTATTAGCTTTCCATCTCCTAAAAAATTCATATAATCATAGTGATTTTATTAACTCATAAACAAGATGAGAGATGTGCTTGGACTTCAGAAACTCGAGAGAAACCCAAGAAATGTTATAAGTTCGCAATTACGAGAAAAAGATTTTGGATTGGATCTGTGATATTTATTGCTTTCAGATTTCGTTATGGACTTTGATGAACTTTGGTTGCTGAGATTTTATTTCGTAATATTATTATTTTCTTCGCTTTCTCTTATAAATCAGTTTACAAATCCTTATAACGTGTTTTATAACTTATTTTACATGTATCTGTGGCTAACCGAGTTTTAACATGTGCCTTACTTCGTCAAAACTTATCTTATGAGACAATGTTCTATGTGCTATGTTGGATGATTGAATCCACTAACATGAGCGTCTTGTAGATTCAAACAGTTACTTATTTTAGTGATTGTACTCCTAGTTTATTGGATACACTTTGGAATCCTAATATATATACATGCTTCGTTTGCAGGCAAACAATCACACCAAAGCAAAGATAATTTAAAGAATGGATCCATGGAATAGAAGAGAGCTTTAGGCAGTCCTTGAAGATCATATATCTTTTTTCTTTCTATTCTTGGTACTTGCCTTACATTCTTTGGTTGGTATATTGATGTTTGTGTTTGGTTATTTGAGACTAGAGAGTTATGTGATTATGTCACCCTTTAATGGATATACAATTAATTCCTCAACTATTGTTAAACGTTGCTTCTTGAGAATAAAAGGTTTTATAAATCCATGTATGAAAATTTATGTCTTTAAAGTGAAATCTACCAGCGACCTTTGTAACTCAAAGCCGATTGACCACACAATCATTCATTTATATTAAGTGTTTAGATGAGACTTCTTAGTCTACAAGTTTTGGATAGATTGGAAATGTGAATTTTTTTATAAAGATTTAAAAAGAGGTTTCTAAATCTTTATAAATCAGTAATACATATTTTCTATAAATAATTAAATTTATATATACAACAATATTGAGTATGGTTTAGTAGTTATCTATAAGTATTTGGGATTTTTATTATAAAAATTTACAAACATCTTTTTAAAACTTTATAAGCTAGTATATACGGTTCTTGATCCTTTTAGTACACCATAAGAGCTCATAAAACCTTTATAAAACTTTATAAATTAGTATATATCTTTAAAAAACTTTATAAATTAGTATATACTCTTTATAAACAAATAATTTTTGATAATTTACTTTCTTCATTGTTCTTACTGATTTATACAGTTTAAAAAATATTTCAAATGTTTTAAATAGTTTTATAAAGTTTTATAAAGGTTTTAAAACGTTTTATAAAGTTTTATAAAGGTTTTATGAGCTCTTATAAACTATTTGAATGTAATAAGTCAGATTAAAATAAATTCATAAAGCTTTATTAATCTTATATAAGGTTTTATGAGTAAATTTATAAAAACATATAAAATCTTTGAAAGTTAATTCCCACTTCAAAAATACTAGCTTTATTTCCTGCAGAGAGAGAGATCATACATATAAGAGTGTACTAGTCGTCACTTTACATACTTCATTCCCGCTTCAAAAACTCTGGTGTTATTTACCAAACAAGAGAACAAGTCTTCAAAATGCAATTGGCACAATTCCATTGAATTCCAAAAACCATTTCCTTGGTATATCTTTTCTTTAGCTACTTGGATGCTTCAGTTTTCTCTTAGTTGTGAAATCTAAGAAAAAAATAAACACACATCATGTATTATAGCAAAGGTCAAGCACCAGCAACCATGTAAATAATTGAATTTGGTCTTCTTCGTTAGCTTCAAAGTCTGAAACGAGCACATAAGGTCATTCATTGTTGTCTTTTGTTTTGTAAATGATGAACATAGTGAATTGTGTTTTCTCAAAATACCTTGATGCCAGGTTTTCTCAAAATACAGGACTGCTGATATGAAGGGCAAAGAACGTCATATATGAAAATTTAAGCAAATTAGCAAAACAAGTTTAATAGTAATACTTGCTTAGTGGTTTGCTTTTCATGCTGCTCATTGATGCCCATGTCAACATACTAAATCTTATCAAGCTAGGATCATACTCAATGAAGAAAACTATTTTATGACAGAGTAGTTAGATGATCTAATCTTCCAAAGGATGGAGCAGTTAATAATAGTAGATCTAACGCTTTTCTAAAACTTAGAAGTAGATCAAATACTTTTTTATGATACAAAAAGCTGCAAAGAAGAAGGATCCTTCTAAGCAAAGCAAAAGATGAGAAACCTTTTGTCAACAAAATCTATTCAAACTAACATTTATGCATCCACATTCAACTAGAACTGCAAATAAGCTTTTTAATTCAATCTAAAATTCCCAAGCTTTTTCTGGTATAATTTCACAAATAAAGTGAAAGAGAGATGAAACATATTTGTCTGTCTAGTAACAGTTATCTTCGATTGATCTTTATGGCTGAGAGGACTCTAATTCTTCTCAGTGTTATCAAAGGTTATCGATACATTTCCTTAAGATCCTGAGGAAGCAAATGGAATCAGATCTTCACCACCTTCCCGGGATCCGTTGGCCTCTTGGTTACTGCAGAGAAATCACAGAGTCTGGCCCGCGCCTCCGCATGATTGCACAAAGCCAAGCAAAGCGATCTCCAGAGATCATGAATCGAATCTGTATAGACTTGGCTCCGAGAGAGGTCGATGAACTTGGTGTCAATCTGTATATATTCCTCCCATTTTTCCTGGAGAAGAAGCTTCGTCTCTTTGGATCTCATGCTCTGTAACAGCTCCGATGATCCTTTGCATCATCTTCTTCCTCATTGATTTTCTGGTCAAAACGATTTATTTTCTCAAACTTAATTAGATTTCATTAAAGGTATAATAGAGAAAGCATTGATTAATTAATAGCAGTTTTGAAAAAAAAATTCAATGGTGGTAGTTCTGAAATCTGTATTGACCAAAGTTGTAGTCTTCAACATTAATTTATGTGGAGTTTGGATGAATTAGGTTCTAATTATTCAAAAGAAAATTAAAATTACCGGTCACCAACATATTTTAGTGTCTTTATCAGTTCGTTGGCTATGTTTTTTTGCTTCCTTTCACACTTTTCATCGAGAACCATGTTATATTTTATTTGGTTTAACCTCAAAAGTGTATTTGGACAAAAATATGTTAGTTGATTAGATTAAACACCTAACACATCAATATGATTTGAGTACCAAATAAACCTCCGGATGTTAGGAAAAATGATACAAGCTAAATAGTATTCCTGAAGTATTTATGTTTTAGTTGATACTTTTTAAAAATACTTTATATATTGCACAATCATGCTGTGAAAACTTGATATTCCACGCCATAGGTTTTAAACTTGAAAACCTGTTTAGCTTTTTTTTTTGCCCCTCTGTTGAGGGGAGTAGTTGCACCCAACACTTCGCATAATTTCAACAATTAGTAGAGTTGAACTCAAGTCCTTTCATTTCACGTCGAGGGTGCTTGTGTCTCAAGCCTCTTCCTAAATTCCCAAGTTTCTCTGTCTTAGCAAATCAAAGATTATTAATCATCATCAGCAAAAAAGTTGTTGGTAACTAGATACCAAGGTTACATATATTTTAGTTATTTGATTTTATACAGCAAGATTAATCATTTAGTTATATCTTCATTGCATTGTTAGTCCTAACTCCAACATGGAATACATTGGTGTATATTCGTGTTAGGCGAATGTCTCAAAATGATTAACAAAATCTCATCGTTTACAAGAAAATAAATGATATTTCGTATAATGCGTATTAGCATAAATACAAGAAAACCGAATCAAAACTCAAACTCCGTATTCAGATATACACTAATAAAGGGGTCATATTAGTCTAATAATCTCATGATTTTCATTTGTTTTTATATTAACAAACATTTATAGAATATGCTTTTTAGTAGAGTGTAGCATTCAAACAAATAACTAACTGCTAAAAAGAAAGTCACCTTTTTCTCTTGGAGTAATTTAACTCTATCATTATGCATTTTAACTAACATTCACGATTAAACTTCTTCGTTTTAGTCAAATCACGATATACTTCTATACTACGTTATTCCCTTCTCTCGTTATTATCTCACATTTGTCATATTCCATCGCTAAAACAAAGTTTTCACAGACCACAGTGAACAGAAAATAACATAGTTTTACTAAATAAATCTTTGAGTGGGTGGAATTAGAAAGTATCCACGTTGGTGGGTGCGGGGGCACGTGCTCCCGGTTAAATATATAGTTTTTATTTTAACTATACACCGATTATAATTAAGTTTCTCAATGGCTATAAATGCAGTTTGATATCACATGAGTTCTTAGTTCGCTGCTGTGTCCATTTAGATGTTAACTTTTAATTTTGTTTTTTTTTTCTTTTTTTAGTTGTTTGTTAGAGCATCATTAGAGACTCACATATGGGGCTTTTCCAGTTTTTTTATTACTTAAAAAAAGTTTTTTAAAAAAAAAAAAAATCGATTTTCGAAAAAAAGAAATAAATAAATAAAGTTGACCAATCAGGTTATAGCAAAAAAAAAAAGAAGCGCTTCTCTCCCAAAACTTATCCATGTTATTTATTTTTTTAATTTAAGAGCTTTAAAGAAAATGTCTGGATGCTCTTAAATTTTCTTTTTGTAGGTTCCATATTTAAATATTCTATAAATATAATTTTTTTCCTTGCAATTAATTAACCTAAGTCAAAGTTTGAACTAACATTTTGGTCGTTCATATACATAATTAACGTATGTTTTTGAACATGTATACTTTAATTTTATATAAAAAGAAATTTATAATGTTTTTGCCCTCAACTAAAATTTGTTCTGGATCTACCACCAAACAAAAAAATAGAAAAAGATATCCTTAGATTTTTTTGTAAGAAAAAGATTCTTACAAAAAATAATATTATCACAAACCCTTTCAGTCAATTTACAATTTCCTTTACATTCTTTAACAATTTCTATAATTATAGCCAAACAAGATTACAATATATAATTTGAAGTACATAATTTTTGAGATTAAACAAGCCTTTTCATATATTGATTTTGTCTTCTTGTATGAACCAGACTTCATCTATAATTTTGGATTGCACCAAAAAAAAAAAATCTATAATTTCAGTTGATCTTAGTAGACATAGTACGAAAGGCTACCACTCGTGTCTATATAAAGCTTTTTAATCATGTTTTCCCTATTTTATTTAAATCATGGTTATAATGGGCCCTATCGCAAATTAAAAAAAAAAAAAAGAGTAGGAAATCAATGTAGCAATCAATGATCTCTGTGTTTCTCATCTGCTAGCAATAATAATAATATGTTAGTAATAAGCTCTTCCCATCGAACCTCTTGTGAGATTTTTCAGCGGCTTCCCATTCTTCGAATCTTTTTAAACCAGTAGGAGTTATATAAACTGCAACAGAACACTGTCTTTAGGCATAAATTCTATTTTTTTCTCATGATTTCTGATTTTATTTGGAAGTCTTTGTAAAATTCCACACTTTTACGATATAGAAAAACCTTTAAAGCAATTTCAATGGTAACACCACAAAAAGGAGTCTTAATGATTAATTATTAATATTTTGTACACTTTATGTAGTTAAAACACTTTGTAAGATTTTTTTTATTTTTAAGCATACAATGAAGACATTTTGATAAGTGTCTTAATTTTTTTTTTCTATATATATTACAAATTCAGATTAATACATAAACAAAATTATGTTTCTAATTAAAAGAGAATAGCTTCTATGCCTTCTTCTTGTAACAATTTTTCATTGTTACTGAATTTTTAAAAGCTAAAATAGTTCAAAACTTACGCCTATTTATTTGAACCCAACGCCTTCCTTGAGAGATATATCCTCTTCTTCTTCTCGCCCTCCTGCACCTTTGACCCATGTATCCAAAATATAATAAAGTTTCATTCCATCAACAAGAAAGAAACAGATTACATCTAGATTGAAAAGTGTCAAGAAAAATTACTTGTGGAGTTATCAACAATCATCACTGAAGCATTAGACTGATCTTGTTTTGGTTCCTCCAACTTGGCTTTCCACAAAGGCATCACCATCCTTGGTTGTGCCTCCTATATCATCATCATATAACTGTTTCATAAGTATAAAAATCACAGAACTTGAACACAAACCTCAGTTTCATAATAGAAATGATGAAGTTTTTAAGTACCTCAAGACTAGCATACACAACCAACTCCAATTTGAAGCAATATCTTCAAAAATAGCATTGGAACAAAAGGACAACAGAAGCGTTAGCAGGAAAGCTGAAGAAATCAGGGGCGAAATCCTAACTGCTTACAAATTGAGAGTCATCGGTGAACAGATGGGATAGGAACAATTACATTACAATGACTTACAGAACTTAGTACGAAAAATAAACCGGAGAAACAAGTAGCCACATCACTACTAACAAATTACAAAAAAAGAATGTTAAAGTTCTTAAATTCTTTTGTTGCTAACTTATAACAGAAACAAGAATCAGGGTATCGAAAAGAAATCTCCAAACCGAAAACCAGAAACAAAGAAAGCAGTTCATATAGAAAACTTGTGAATTATATAATTCACAGATCATTTTAAAAGATTCTATTCATCCAAATCTTGAGCTACCGAGTCAGTTGTTCTATACTCCTGCTTCGTCGATCTTTCCACGAGGATGTATGATTGAATTTCATCTAGATTCTGTCCAGATTTCGGAAATTTTACAAGAAAAAGAAAAACAGATCACTTAATTTATCAGTGTGGAGCTTTGACTTAACCAACTGAGCAGTAATTTGAAATTCAAGCACATAGCTATATAATAAGCGAGTAATAGGGATGTGTAAGATTGAGAAACCTACATGTTTGAGGTCGATATGAAAAAAAAAACACAATAGAGTTTTCTTTCAAGCTCAAATGAAATTTCAGAATCGAGAAGAAACTAACCAGATAAGAGCTGATTCGAAGCGCTTTCTCTTTAGAGTTCGGGTTTAATCACCAGCTGGTGCTCATTAACCTTGACTACATCCGAATGCAAAGCATCTTTTGATTTCCCACTCGGTGACTTGAACATCGACAGGGTGTTTACGAACCAGGCGTGGTTTTTCTCCAACTTGTCCGCCTGAAATTGAGACAGTAAACCAAAATTAGCACCAGTGTCCCGCACAAAGAAACCTTTATCGCATATGTACATGAAGGGGGAGAGAGATGCTACGATGGGCTGAGGGAGGTCATCGGAGAGAGATGCATTCTCGAGTTCGGTGAGAAGAGAGCCAAACGGATCCCACCAGAGGGAGGGATCGACGGATTTAGGTTTCGCCATTGATAGAGCTCTGTGAAAGACCAGGTCGTGGGCGCTTAAACCCTAGAGAGAGAGAGAGAGAAAGAGGAGGAGATGCAGCGATTCTAGGGATTTCGATCAAACCGATGTTTTGGTTCTCATCTGTTTTCGTCGAGAGATAGATGAAGAGAGTGAAGATTTTTTTTTTTTTTTCATTTTCTGTGTTAATTTTTTTTATCTATTCATACTCTGCCACCTGTCCCTTCTTAAATCAGAAAAATATCCTATATTAGACCCTTGTTTACAATATTAGACACTTTGTATTATTTTTTTAATTTAATTATATTAATAAGATCTTCTCCTTAGACATCCACATATCTGCATTGGAGTTGGTTTTAGAGCATCTGTAGTACAGAGATCTTATGAATTTCTTAAGTAAAAAAAAGAAAAAAAATAAAAGAATAACGTGGCATCTTAATTTTTTAGAATCAACTTTTCTATAGACATCGATAGAATCAGCTCTCAAAGAAAATGATATGGCATCTATTTTTTTTGTGTTGAAAACCAGTGTTTTCTCTTACCATGTGCAACACATGGATTTTAAGCTAATTTCAAGAGATTCTAAACAATAAAATAATAGAAAAATAAAAGAGAACATAAAAAGTGATCCTTATTTACAAGTCATAAGAATTCATTCTTAAGCAAATGGGAAATGATATAATTTACATGTCAAATTTTAAATAGTTATAAATTAATTAATTATTTTATATTAAATTTATATATTTTATTTATATTAAGTTTAGATACTTTTTTTTTAGCTTTTCAAACCATCTCCATCGCTGGTTTTTACCATAGTCTTTTAATTAAAAAATTAATAAAATAATAAAAATTAAGAGAAAAAAGAAGGAACACTTCTTAAACTTCTTTTGTAAGAGACGTTTTTAAGCTTTTTTACAAAATCATTTAATATATGTTATTTTATTAGTGTGTGCCAGGTGCTACGCACCCTAAAAAATATATAACATTGTAATTTTTTTTGATGATATTATTTGAATTGAATCCATATATTTTTTATAAATATTTTAAAAACTAAATCAGTTAAAAATGAAAATTTAACAATGTCCTAAAAGAAGATTGTAAAGTAAACCCATTATTTAATCCTTTTCTATTTGTTTTTATTTGAAACTTTGACTTAGATTTTAAACATTTTTTTCTCTTATCACCTGACTTTTTTAAAGACTTGATTTAATTATTCTCATGTCCAAGGTAACACTTTTGTAATGCCACTCCATCATCACACGTAGACAATTAGACAAATAACAATTTAATTGTTAGAATATAACTTGCTTATAAATAAAGATGGTTAAATTGTTGAAAAAAAATAGTTAAACTTAATTATTGATATCAATATTGAACTCTATAAGGACTGAGACATCTTTTGTTTTCAACTTTTCATCGAGTCAATGTTCAATATTCTGCCGAACCACTTTTTATTGTGCATCCTCCTGCCTCGGGATTGCTGGTCAAGTCGTTAAAAAAAAAACTACACCTGTTTTTGTGGTTTAATGAATTTGGCAAAAAGTTTCCAAATTTTTGTTTTGATTATTTCATTCAATTTTTGTAAAATATTTTTTTTTTGAATTTTTGGTAATCTTTCTTAAAACTATGTAATTGTAACATAAATACAATAAATGTTTTTAATATCGTTAAATACAGAATTGGAAGATGGAGTTTGTGGGTTCGAAATAAAACTGTTTTTGTAATGAAAAAGAAGTTACTACCTTTAAATTTCTTTTTTTGTATAAAAAGTAAAATAATAAATTTGTAAAAGACACTTAGAATTATTGACTGACTTATAATTTATAAATATAAAGATTTAAATTTTTTTATTAATTTAAAAATTTTTTTTTTTTTAAGATACCTTCAACCTTCCTAACCGCTGGAGATGCTCACAGTGTTGCACATGCTCTCTCTCCGTCATCTTCCTCTCTGTTCTCAGATTTGATCCGTCGGTTGCATTTCGATTCTCCTTCTGAAAAAAATACAAAAGAAAGCAAAAGCAAAACCAAAATCGATATCCTTCGTCTTCTTCTATCCGTCTTTTCTCTGCAACAACAACAACTCACCTAAGCCCTTTCTCCTCTCTCTTAGATTCGCCACCTCTAGTTCTTCTTCCTTTGTCGCTCCTCTCAAATTATCTACCACCAATCACGCTCTGACCTCGAACCGACTCCAAAGGCGCCATTTCTGGCTCCATTCGAGCCGTCAATTTCGGTCATTCCCGGCGGTAACGGCAGCTCTGGTAAAATCCGGCTATGCCCTTCTGCTCGCTTTAGTTTAAAAATGTTCAATAGAATTACTTTTCTGTGACCCTTTTGATTAATAAACAAATATGGTTGGCTCTTTTTTCAGTTGATGACAAATTTGGTTGGCTTTAGTCTTCTTCAAGAGCTAGGAATCAATGAAATCATCAAGGTGACTTTTTTTGGTCTCTCTGTTTCAGTCATGAATTTCTCGTTGAATCATTCCTTCTCACTATCAAAAAATTCTTATGTCTATGAATGATTCAGAAGAACCGGGCTTGTCTGGTCAGAACCAGGTTCGAATCAATACACTATTGAGTTAAACTGAGTTCATGAGTGAGTTAACTGAGTTCATGAGTGATCCATGTGCTTTGGAATAGCTTACTATTTTGTAAGCATTTGGAACTCTGTAATTTTATAGTTTTACAGGCTACATTATTATTAATTTATTAGCCACACAACGATTAAGTTGAGAAGCTTCTGGGTTTGTGTAACATATAAGAACTGATGCAAATACGACACAACTTGCTATTGTCTAGGCCTTTGGAACTCTGTATTTTGATTGCTTACTTTGATAAATTTGAATTTGCTTACTTGACATGCCTTTGATAGATTGGTTCATCAATACCTTATGGCTTATACCTTGGAGTATCTTTCTTTTCTCTTCTTCTTGGAGTATGCTTATCCATTGTCTATACATGTGACAGGAAGCGATGCTGAAGCATACAAAGCTCGACAATTTTCTCTTTAAGCTCGACAGGTGACAGGAAGCGATGACAAAGACGACGAGGGCATAGCAAATGAGGTATGTACATGAACAACGAAGCTTCTTCATATTCTACGAAATCGACGACAAGTGTAGAACTTTGTTTCAGAAAACAAATTCTTCATAGTGTGATGAACTTAAAGAGCTGATCATTTTCTATAAATTTAAAACAATTTGTAAAAATATTTTTTATGTTATTATTAAAAACTTAATATAGTCTTTCTAACGTATGTCTCCAAATTAAAATTTTTTTTATGAAATTCTTAACTTAAAATAACAGTACATTTAATAATAAATAATACTTAAGAACTTCAATATGAGATTCTCTATTACAGATGTTCTATGCCGAAGAGAGATTCTTAATATTTTTTTTTATTATAGAAGAAAATCATTTTTTAAAGAAAAAAACAAAAATTTAGCAAATCATATTTTACCACGTCATGGGAGAGAGAGTTCTTCCACCTCTGCGCAGAGAAGCGATTCTACCCTTAGTCTCAACCACATCAATTTTTTTTTTTTTTTTTTTTTGAACCCTGTCAAATCTCTCTATTGTAGATGCTCTTAGTACTTATGGAAAAATAACAAAACTGTTTCAACATAAATTTTGTAAATACTTGTTAACTATATACATACTACACATATAGATATATACAAATCGTTCAAAATATTTTGCTGTGCATATTGGTTAATACAGAAAACATCGATGTGCGATTCCTCTTTATACGGAGAAAACCACAAATGTGAACACTAAAATTTTTGATTAAAAATTACTTTCTCTAAAACAAATAATGTTTTTGCTCAGATTTACATATTTTGTATATAATTTAACCAAATTTAAACTTTGTAATAAGGCAAATGTTACCAAAGTTTATGGTTTTTGAATGAAATAATCAAAACAAAAATTTGGAAATCGTTTTTGCCAAATTCATTAAACCACAAAAACAGGTGTAGTTTTTTTTTAACGACTTGACCAGCAATCCCGAGGCAGGAGGATGCACAATAAAAAGTGGTTCGGCAGAATATTGGACATTGACTCGATGAAAAGTTGAAAACAAAAAATGTCTCAGTCCTTATAGAGTTCAATATAAAAAATTACAACTAATATTAATCAATAAAACATTATATAACAATATAAAAATACATAATATATATATACTAAATTATAAATTACAAATAAAATATCAAATTATTCAATAAAACTACTTCTATAGTGCTTTCATATATGATTAATTAATAAATTTCAAAATTACCTGAATATTAGTATTATTGTAGTATTTCAATTTGTATAATATTTATGTGTTTATGTAATTTATTTTTTGTATTTTGTATTAAATTTGCTTTATATATATATATTTGTTGTTGTGTAATAAAAATATTTATAATAATGTGTAATATTTTTTCTGAATTTATTTTAAGATTTTTATTTAGTCTGTATACAAAAATTAAATATATATACATATATATGAAATACTAAAATTAAAATACTAAAATTATATGGACTAAAGTGATAAACAACAAACCTAAAATATAAACATTCATATAGTATATAATTAGAGGACTGAAATGCAAATAAAAAGGTGAAACTTCAAATTTGAAGTTTTGAACAGTGAAACTTCAAATTTGGAGTTTTACTGTTCAAAACTTCAAATTTTGATTGAAGTTTCTCTTGGAGTGTAACAAACTTCATATTTTGAAATTATAGACATGGAAGCTCTTGTGAGATTTTTCAGCAACTTCACATTGTTCGAAACTTTTTAAACTAGTAGGAGTTATAAAAACTGCATCAGAACAATGACCTTAGGCATAAATTCTATTTTTTTTCCATAATTTCATTTGGAAGTGTTTGAACCATAAAATCCACATTGTAGAAAAACCTCCAGTACGTATAGAAAGATAACAAAACTGTTTCAACAGAAATTTTGTAAATGCTCGTTAACTATATACATAAAGATATGTACAAATCTGTTCCAAATATTTAGCTGTGCATATTGATTGATACGGAAAACATCGTTGTACCACTCCTCTTTATACAGAGTAGACGACAAATGTGAACACTAAAACTTTTGATTAAAATATACTTTCTCTAAAACAAATAATGTTTTTGCTCAAATTTACATATTTTGTATATAATTTAACCAGCTAAAAAACTTCGTAATAAAGCAAATATTACCAAATTTAAAGAATGATGGGTTGATTTAGACAGACTTTGGGAAAAGCAAGTATTTTTCATATAGCACATTGATTTTGTCTTCTTGCATCATACAGACTCCATCAATATACATAGTTATGGCACACCAAAAAAAGTACAAAATTTTTGTCTCCCATAATACGAAATTTATGTCTCTCATCTGCCATAATATGAAATTTATGTCTCCTATTTGTCATAGTATGAAATTTATGTCTTCCATTTGTCATAGTACCATCAACATTAATATCAACAGTGAGCGTGAGGCTACACGACATTTAAATTGTCATAAACATTTTCATAAATCATTGTCAATCGGTGGCTAAAATTTTATTGAGTCTATATATATATAGAGGCAGAGGAGGAGTTACAACACATAGAAACACAGAGCATGGCGTCCAAACAATATGGTTCGTCTTGCACATCCGATCTCTCCCAAAAAAAATCAAACAAAAAAAAAAACCTCCCAACAAAAAGAACTCCCACTGGGTAAGATCTCTTTCTTTATCCCTTATTTTTATTTGATTTTTAACAGTGGATTAGCTTGCTGCATAAAGATTTTTACTTGTTAATGGGCAGCAATAGAACATGTTGATGTCTACTGGGACTTCAACAAATGCCCACTAGTTGCGGATCAACCGGTAAACACTATTGTGGACAAGATTAATCAAGCTTTAAGAGAGGTGCACAAGGAAGATAGGAACGCTCCGATATACTATATGTCAGAAAAAAGAATCCTATGTGAGGACCTTCAGAAGCTTGTGAGGACCTTTTGAAAGTGAACGTTCAAAACCCTGATCGCTTGAGCCTTATCACTCAGCTTCTGAAGGTCCTCACATAGGAATCTTTTCTCTGACATATAGTATATGGGAGCGTTCCTATCTTCCTGGTGCACCTCTTTTAAAGCTCGATTAATCTTGTCCACAATAGTGTTTACCGGTTGATCTGCAACTAGTGGGCATTTGTTGAAGTCCCAGTAGACATCAACAGGTTCCATCGCTGCCCATTAACAAGTAAAAATATTTATGCAGCAAGCTAATTCACCGTTAAAAATCAAATAAAAATAAGGGATAGAGAAAGAGAAAGAGATCTTACCCAGCGGAAATTCTTTTTGTTGGGAGGTTTTTTTTTGGGTTTTTTTTTTGGAGAGATCAGATATGCAAGACAAACTATATTGTTTGGAAGCTATGCTCTGTGTCTGTATGTGTTGTAACTTCTCTTCTGCATCTATCTATATATAGGCTCAATAAAATTTTAGCCACCGATTGACAATGATTTATGAAAATATTTATGACATTACAAATGCCGTGTAGCCTCACGCTCACTGTTGATATTGATGTCGATGGTACTATGGCAGATGGTGGACATAAATTTCATATTATGGCAGATGGGAGACATAAATTTCATACTATGGTAGATGAGAGACATAAATTTCGTATTATGGCAGATGCGAGACATAAATTTTGTACTTTTTTGGTGTGCAATAGCTATGTATATTGATGGAGTCTGAATTATGAAAGGAGACAAAAACAATGTGATATATGAAAAAAACTTGCTTATTCTCAAAGTCTGTCTCAAATCAACCCACATCATTCGTTTAAAATTTGGTAACATTTGCCTTATTACAAAGTTTAAATTTGGTTAAATTATATACAAAATATGTAAATTTGAGCAAAAATATTATTTGTTTTAGAGAAAGTAATTTTTAATCAAAAGGTTTAGTGTTCACATTTGTGGTCTTCTCCGTATAAAGAGGAATCGCACATCGATGTTTTCTGTATCAACTAATATGCACAGCAAAATATTTTGAACGATTTGTACATATCTATATGTGTAGTATGTATATAGTTAACAAGTATTTACAAAATTTATGTTAAAACAGTTTTGTTATTTTTTTATAAGTACTAAGAGCATCTACAATAGAGAGATTTGATAGGGTTCAAAAAAAAAAAAAATTGACGTGGTTGAGACTAAGGGTAGAATCGCTTCTCTGCGCAGAGGCGGAAAAACTGTCTCTCCCATGATGTGGCAAAATATGATTTGCCAAATTTTTGTTTTTTTCTTTAAAAAACAATTTTCTTCTATAATAAAAAAAAATATTAAGAATCTCTCTTCGATATAGAACATCTGTAATAGAGCTAGAATCTCATATTGAAGTTCTTAAGTATTATTTATTATTAAATATACTATTATTTTAAGTTAAGAATTTCATAAAAAAATTCTTAATTTGGAGACATACGTTAGAGAGACTATATTAAGTTTTTAATAATAAAATAAAAAACATTTTTACAAATTGTTTTAAATTTATAGAAAATGATCAGCTCTTTAAGTTCATCACACTATGAAGAATTTGTTTTCTGAAACAAAGTTCTACACTTGTCGTCGATTTCGTAGAATATGAAGAAGTTTCGTTGTTCATGTACATACCTCATTTGCTATGCCCTCGTCGTCTTTGTCATCGCTTCCTGTCACCTGTCGAGCTTAAAGAGAAAATTGTCGAGCTTTGTATGCTTCAGCATCGCTTCCTGTCACATGTATAGACAATGGATAAGCATACTCCAAGAAGAAGAGAAAAGAAAGATACTCCAAGGTATAAGCCATAAGGTATTGATGAACCAATCTATCAAAGGCATGTCAAGTAAGCAAATTCAAATTTATCAAAGTAAGCAATCAAAATTCTGAAGGTTCTCACATAGGATTCTTTTCTCTGACATATAGTATATCGAAGCGTTCCTATCTTCCTGGTGCACCTCTCTTAAAGCTTGATTAATCTTGTCCACAATAGTGTTTACCGGTTGATCCGTAACTAGTGGGCATTTGTTGAAGTCCCAATAGACATCAACATGTTCCATTG